ATAAGGGACTATTGCTGTATCCTTACCTGCACTGTATATCCGATTTAAAGCCAGTTACAGACATATTAAAGAAGAGTGTAAGTAAAATATTAAAGATACTGTACTGAGGCCAGCGGAGGCAATGTAGTTCAAGGGAAGGCGGTGCAGCGAGGAAGTAATAACACCTGGGTGACCTTCCAGTGTACCGTAATTGGGTGACAAATACAGAGAAAGCGGATATAGCAAGTTCAGCGGAGAAGATAGATGCCAGTATTGATCTCATACTGAACACGTATATTGGCCCGCTTGGCTGCCGAATGCCAGGCGCAGTTGGTAGTGATAATCGTTCAACACCAGTATTACCTACAGATGACAGATATCACGCTTCTCAGTGCTCAATTCAACCTCGCTGGCTAGCTCCAATCGCCTTCAACTCTATCGATAAACACATCAAGGTGTACAACAGTATCATAAGAGTTTGCGGAGATCCGAGTCACGGAATGCCGCCTCGCGGATATCCTGTTTCGCATCCGCACAACGGCTTGCAAGTGACTGATAGCGAAGGCTCCAGCGACTGAAAGAGGAAATACTACTCCAATGCATCAACACAGCCTCGCAAGCGCCAAAAACTCTCCAGACCGCACACAAATGCTCTTCTATTCTTAAACTACTTTCTATAGACTCTACCCTGGTGCTTTGGATCAGGAATTATCCATCATCGCCTGTTGCAAACAAACAGCCTCAAGATCCCCGTTCCTTTCCATGGTTCCCTGGTTTAGATCTTTCCCAGACTCCCTTTTGACCGCAGTAGCAATCAGATGTCTAGACACAGCTCATGAAGCCTACACTCATGATTTCGGTCCACGAGATGTGAGCCCTCCAGTGATTCCCTTCCGAGGACAGGATCAGCTGTCGGGGGGTTGTCTCTCATTACAGCCATCGCAAATCTGCTGCCTAATATTGAGTTCCTAGCGCTTGAACTCCCTGTCCTACGAATCCGACCTCTCAAGTATGGCAAGATTTAACTTCTGTAGACAATGAGATAATACCAACGGCGGCCAATGTTTAAGCACAACAACGTGACGCCTCCCGTATACGATCCCGACGTATCAGCAATGGAACCTATCGCATCAGTCAATAGCCTACCAACCGAGTGGGGGAGTTAGTGTGTCCTCTTATTCAAAATGGTAAAAAAACAATTAAATACTTATACGCAGTACTGAGGATGACTTAGGAAAAAAGGTCCAGAAGCACTCAGTTACTGCCTCTTATTCTTAAACATTATAAAGGAGGGAGGAATCGGTCCGCAGCATAGAGTTCTACAGTTTAACAGCCCAGGCATAACGTGAGAACATGTAGTTTTTTCAAAGCTCTATCGTATCAAAGTTTGAGGCAACAGCTCAGCAACAATAAGAATCACATTTCCTAGCTAAAACCGCCCGAGAGGCATACAAGCCAAATAGTAGTGAAATGCGATATATAGCTGGCCATTGAGGTCTTTCGATACTGTTTAATATCAGTAAGCATTATTTCACTGTTTTCACAAAGAAAGTAAGAGGCTTTGATGTGTGCATTGAACGTAGCGGTTGTCGCTACCCTATAGCTAACCATAAAATTCTGCCAATTTCTTATCTTATCATGTTCACCGCCCGCCCAAGTCAGTTGCATTCTACCTCGACCAACATTTCACGTCGTCAACTTCACAACTTTAAGCATCAACAACAAAATGGCGCCACCTGCACCTGCATCAGCGCTCCATCGCCACCAGTCTTCCCTTGAAGGAATCTTGGACCTTTCATCGCAGCCTCCTCTAGATCCAGCTCACCGGGCTTCTGCTAAGCGCCGGTTTGACCAAATCATCAATCACTTTGAAAGCCAAGGCATTAGACCAGATCGCGACAAGTACGACCGCCTCAAACTGGTCAGCCTAACATATAAGCACTCGATAAGCGAAAAGTCTAAAGATAGATTACTAGCTGCTTTCTTTGCATTTGCAGGACTGTCGATAGCCGCAGATGAAGACATCAACTTTGAGGACCCAACCCGTCAAGAAGAACTCCGAGCTTCCCTCGACAACTTTGCCGATTATCTCTTTGATAATTTCTTTCTACCACTCAAAGCATCAACCAAAAAAACACCCCAGCCTTCACCAGCATCTCATTCAGCCGTTGCGAGTGCGCAACGCCAAGGACATGTCTTCGCAGGGACTCCAGAGCGAATCGCCAATCTAAGAGGAGCCTGTCTAATACGAGATCGTTATCGGTGTGTTATATCTCATAAATTTGACCAGGCGGAGGCCTTGAAACGATTCGGTTTGCAAAGGCGTGGCCAAGGTGAGGCATGCGACCAAGATGGGCAGCCTCTAGCAGGGCAACGGTTTGAACCCCTCGAGGTGGCACACATCTTGCCACACTCATTAACGCAACTTGACTCTCGCGGAGAACTGGTGAGAGACTGCAGAACCCTTTTTGATCACAACCGCTAATATATCTATCTATCCCAGAACGCCTCGAAAGAAGCAGCGCTGGCGATACTTAATATGTTCGACGATGGAGCCGCTTATCTGATCGAGGGAACTGAGATTGATCGTCCTGGAAACGCTTTGACGCTGACTCAGCATCTGCACACATACTTTGGTGATTTCAATATCTTTTTCAAGCCTGAGGGTACAGTTCCACACAGGTACCATATTGAAACCTTTCTCCCCCAAGGGTTCACGTATGATGTTCCTGTTACTCGGACGCTTTTTCTCGCTGAAGAGAGGAACATCGATCCTCCTTCGCCACGACTGCTGGCAATTCATTGTGCTATCGCCCACATCCTGCACCTCTCTGCGGCGGGTGATTATATCGATGACATTCTGAGGGATGCTGACGAGTATGGGATTCGACATGATGGAAGTACTGAGTTACATCGTCTAGTAGGACTTCATCTAAACAACTGGGCTGGTCGCCAAGCCCATAATAATGTAATAGTCTAACTCTTTCGACAACTATCTAGATACTAAATAATGTAATGTTTAAGTCAATGTGTCTTTAATAGAGTAATATTGAGATACCAATAGCACGCCACGTAATGTGTGGCTCTCATTGTGTCCTTATAGATCTGGGGTTTTAATCCTCCTATAATAACAAAGTAGACTTGATGTAGTAAGTAAGTGAATTGATCAAAAATGCCTACCTTGAAAATAGAAATCCCTATAAAAACATAATGAAGTAATTAACTAACTAAAACTACTCGCTATACTCTTCCCTAGATATCTCAATTACTCTCTGAATAGCATCCTTTTCCGCAAGTGCAAACACTTTGACATGGAGAAGAAACTCAGAGTTGGTGGCAGAACCATTGTCTCTTGGCGGGCTGTTGGCATCTGCGGCATCTCCTAGATCGCAGTCCATCTTGGGGTCCTGGTGCCGGTCTGGTATCTCATAGTCCCAACGATAGAAATATTAAATAAACAATTCACGCGTTATGGGTCGTCATCCTCGAGCCTATACTTGTTCACAAAGGTGAACCCTCCAGTGACTCCAGGTGTTGACTTGATGAGTGTTGTACCGGTAATGATCTTATTCCTTATGACCAATAAGTGGAAGCAGACGTTAAGACGGTGGGTGGCATTGCTATCGAAACATGACTAGATGCCTGTTGCCCAACGTTCTTAGAACACAATAGGTTAAGTGTGTGTAGATGTGCAGAAGACTTGCAAGGGCACAGCCCTTGTTCTAGATACTCCGAACGTGAGCTGGCATGCTTCGCGAACTCATAGCCCCGGCCACTACCGTCACAGGATCCTAGGTAGGGATCTATATCATTTGCTCCACGACGCCTTATCACATACTTCCTGTTCTGATCAGCTCTGTCTTATAGAGCCCTCTTTTCGTGAGAAAGCTGACAAGTGATCGTGAGCGACTTCACTATATATAAGGAGTTACACTCGAGACAAGAGAAACTGAGATAAACAATAATGTAGACACTAAGAGGTTAATGATATACATAAACGACTCAATATAAACTGAATGGTAATTGCTAAAGTACTCTACAAATACATCTAAACTATTGCTGACTTTGCGGCATTTCTATCGTACACTGACCTTTATTTCACTTGCTTGAAGTGTTGCGTCTCGCCATCCAATCCTTAAGCCATCCAAAGAAGACAGTTGCAGTGGACCATTCAGTCCCCTGTTCTGCCCAATGTGCGAATGCTATCGCACGGTCATAAACTGTACCGTCAGTAGAGGCCGTATACATAACAGCCACCAAGAAATATAGCAATGGCAACACGAACCAGCGGATCGCATAAGACACAAAGATCAATTCCAGCCAATAAGAGCAGACTTCGCAGATCCCACCCAAAACATATTGAACAGAACCACTTCTGCTCACAAGAAAATAGGTATCATACGTGTTCTGGTACATGCGGCCCTGTAAGTAGATATCTTGAGGGAGGATTTCAGAGACCATAGAGATACACTGGATAACAACTGCCATCCGGTAGTTGCACAGACGTTCAAGAACCTTGAATAGGGTGTAAGCAAGTGAGTTATGACTAGGAAGCTTCCTGAGATAGTTGCCTGTGGAGTTCTCCAAGGAGATATCAGATGACATCTTAACGTTGCTGAGATCTCGGGAGTGATCTTCGTTCTCCTCACGGTCTTGGCTATCCATCGATGGAGCAGCGGGATGTGCTGTTTGCGACTCTGTTTGTTGAGGCTCCCGATCTGGAAAACCGAGACAGAGTATGAGTGAAAGGGTAAGAATCAGGATAGATGTAAGAGGAATGATAAGTGGTACGGGACGTTTTGGTAGAAGATGAGTAACATAGACCCTGAAAAAGTGAAGTTCACGAAGAACTTCAGAAGATATGAAGGGAATGAGGAGCAGAGAGGGACGGTGAGGGACCCTGTCGATGAGTTCTGTTGCGATAAATACAGTAGTGTATAAATTGCAGAGCATGGCAACTGCTTGATGAAATTGAGACATGATGTCGATACTTGTGCTGATGTAGGCCAGTGAGTTATTGATGGTGCGTTTTGCCGGTTATCTGAGTTTGCAAGTACCAAGTAGTATCCTTTGCAGAATGCTGTTGATAAAGGTAGGATAAAATGAGGGGACATGAGCAAGGTATTTATGATAAACACTTGAGTAGAACAGGCACTGCGTCTGGTTTACTGTTTCGACAAAGGGATCGAGTGTTCGGATTCACTCGCAATGGACATATGGCTGTTCATGCAGACAAGCAGCGAACTCAGACTCGACCTCATCATGATGAAAGAACAAAGAAGCCGTTGCTGAGTGTACAGTCGCCACTGAACGACTTATCGTTGAGACAAGTTTTCTCGAACAACCCGTGTCAAGCATGAGGATACTCTGGCGCTAGAACGTCGTTACTGTACACGTGCGGCTCCAGGCGCCATAGAGTCCTCCCTGGTGCGGATTTAGGACCTAGCCACTGGACTTGCGGGTCTAGATTCGTGTTTGTCGCCTTACTTCATCATAGTCAAGGTCAGTGGACAGCTCAGTTCGCTTCTACATGGGCATGCGTCGACTGGTTCCACCTCGCCATTGAACTCATGAACTTAATGTCATCCAAGCTAGGTCTTTGGCCTGTTCTGGGGTAAGTACAGCGCAGAGTGGAATCAGTCGCATGTGTATGGGTAACAGCGCATATGTTTCATTGATAGATGTGTGGAGAGACATCATCTCGACAGTGAGCTCGATTAGGCATAGTGAGGTCTGGTGACTTGTCAGTCTGGGTGATTCAGCTTGTTACATATCGTGACAGTGCTTTGAGGCGATGGCAGACTTGGGAGGCTGGCCGAGGGAACATGAGTGTCGTAAGCATCTTCTCGGTATTTCGTGGCCGTCAAGTTGGAGGTTCCAAGAAAGACCTCTCGACCCGTGTCGAAAGTTCTCATATGCAGTTTCAATCTTCTTGGAACAAGCCGCTTATGCGATAGTACGATCTGAGCGGAGTAAGTCGTATCCTCTGACTCTGTACCAAGAGAAGAACGAACAAGTCAACTGACTGTATGCGACCAGGTTTCAGCCGACTGAATGACCGCCGTCAGGATATGCATGATGACCACTTCTGCAACAAGACGGTTCCCCTCGCGAGCGCAAAGTGTTTTCTTAGTGGTGAGGTAGAGTTTTTGAAAACATGTATTAGTTTTGTCGTCAATCTCGCAATTGAGCGATGCAGGGCAATCTGCAGCTCTAGAGTGGAGGTTTGCTTGTTGATGGGCTTTGATTGAAAAATTCATAAGCAACCGAGTCTAGATTGGAATAATCATCTTTTTGTTTTGAAGCTCTTTTGCAGTTATTGTTTGCCTTGGCACACCGTTCAAGCGATCCCAAATCAGTGTACCAGGTCAGTCGTTCAGAGTCAGATGAAAGCTCTGGACAATTCAGTGGGCGATGCTCTAGATCAAGTGGGGCCGAGACCGCTGAAGCCCCAAGCCCAAGTACACTTCCCTGCCTTGAACTCTAATTCAGCAACTGAACTACCCAATGAGCCAAATACGATACAAATGGTGTGTATTTGAGAGAAGATGCTTCACCACAAGAGTCTCATCAAACTTTACCATAAAGTATAAACAGGTGTATTTGTCGCTCTTGATGCCTCAAACATGACGCGCTGTAGCTTTGTTACACAGCGTCGGTCGCACGAGCAACCGGTTTTATTTGCATTGCACGCAAAAGTCTCTGCCTTCCAGCCTATACAAGCGCTGCCACTCCCATCAATCCCCAGGTTTCCTTGCTTCATTGATGGATCGTATAGAGATCTTGACCACAAAAGCATCTCTCGGTTGTCTGTGTTGATCCATCCTGGTCAAAGTCCTCCAGCATGTCCGACGTTCCCGCCCAAGACGTGGTTGGCGTCAAGGCTGAAGACGAAAACGACACCAACCCTACCATCATTCACCAAGATGCCGACGATGATATTAACGAAGAAGTGCTCTCGCGACCACTAGACCCAGGAACCAAGGCTGCGCGATACACCGGTCCGCCCCGAGGAGGCAAGATGCTGTCCTTCCGTCCCGGTGTCTTCCGTCGCAGTCATCGACCTTTTCTGAAATGCAACAGCAGAGAACTCAAGAAGCAAGAGGAAGCTGAAAATGGAGCTTTCACCAGATGGCGCACCAACCCTGATGAGATTGACGACTCCAACATTCCCATCATCCGACTCACCGAAGCGTCAGACTCGGCCCAGTCATTTGAAGCCTTCCACGCTACTGTCATCGAGCCAAACAAGGAGGCTATTGAACTGATATTGGTGGAGTACAACAAGAGCGTTCATATCCTTGACCAGCGCAACGATGTCCAGTTCTTCGAAAAGTACCATGAACAATACACTAGTGGAGATCTTGGCAATTATGGAAGACCTCGCACCGTCTTCAACCTTCGGCCTGATAAAGCTTTAGACATACACATCGGCTTCCTCTGCAGTAAGTCGAGCCTCTTGCTAGTAGTTTCATCAACTGACAGATCCCAGCCTCAAAACAAGCAACCCACGACTGCGAAGCCCAGAAGTGCCCGCCGCTCTACGCCGCCTGCTTCATCGCATGGCACGGCCCATCCTTCCGATACTTCTTCACCAAAGCCTCCGAGACCGACGAAAACCCCAGCGACGTCTTCTTCTCGATGCCCCGCGACGCACGCATCACCGTCAAGTTTTGGGAGGACCGGGTCCGAGATGTAGCGAGGGACACAATGCGCCAGACGGTGCGGGAGAATAACTGGAATTGGGCGGCTGTGCTGGCTTCGGCGGTTCTGAAGAGTGGATATACGCCGTCGGAATATGATCTGGGAGGGTTTGTGAACTGGACGGAGTTTGCGGATAAGAATGATCTTGGGAGTGTGTTTTATGGGGTCATATCGTCTGATGAAGAGTCCTCTGGCGAAGAGTCGTCTTCTCAAGGGGATGAATGAGCGGTAGCGAGTACCAGCCTCGACTAGATGTTATACATACTCTCGGTCCCTGAGAAAGATGAAATGAGTCTTTTTTGGTGCAGCATAAGAATGACTGGGGGATATCGGCTGAACCATTGACTGGCCTTTACAATTGGCGAGACCACTTTTCAAGGCCACGAACCCCTCTCAGATAAGTCGCAGGAGGTCGAGAGGTAGGCGTCCTGTTTAAATGAGCCCAAAACCAACACATAGCAACAGTTGTTCACATTCATACTGGCCACAAAAAGACTCGTGGCTATTTATTTCTCCAGCCATGCAATCGCAGATGTCTGCGTCCAAGGATAAGAGTCGTTGTTAGACCAGATTGGGTTAGGCATGTGCATTGCATTCATTTCTATGAGAAAGAAAGAACGCGAATAACCAATGCACATCTGGAATTGTCGTTATTAAAGGTATTACCGCGGCAAGGCGAAGGGTATATCTGACTCAGTGTCCGGGGTCAACCCCGCATAAACTGACTCGGACACTGGCTTCAATCTTGTCCAGTGACACGCTGCCTCAAGATTGCACGCCAAATAATCCGAGACCAGGTCATATGTTAGGCTTCTTCTTCTCTTGAATGAACAAGCCATCAAGGGACAATGCAATCTCTATTCTGTATTTATAATAATCTTACTGCCGCGTCGGTTATCTCTGAACCTGATTCGGTTAGATTTATATACCAGTGCATGCGCGACTGAAAATTGCATTTAAGGCTGATTGCGATAGCTCTGCGATATTTAATAATAAATATAAAATAATTACATTAAGGAGAGAAATTTATTTAAATTTCTTATAATATATCTATATAATACTTTTTAGATTAAATTATAATAAAATAATATAGTATTTTATTTTATCCTTTTTAATTTATATATAAGAAAATATATTAAAAAGATAATATATTTTTATAATAATATAGAAGATATAGCTAAT